ACCCCTTAGTTAGAGGGGCAGTGCTTTGAAATCAGTAGCACAGTGCCTGGCATGTGAAGGGCACCCAGCAAAAGCTTATTTAACTAAATGTAAGTGGAATATCATGGCTTATTTAACACTATGGGGATCATCATTCTCCCCCCAAAAAATCTTTTCATACTTCCACCTAGAATAAAAATGGATTTTTCTAGAATAACTGAATCTAACCTTCTTAATCATTCAAATCGTAGAAAGTCAGAAAGAGCATCTGGGCCAATGTTGATATAGTGCATTTTATATTATACACAAGTCATCTGTCTAATCATTTCATGTGCCAATTGCCTAGATTACTAATTTTTTTGTGATGATAATATTAATACAACAGAATTTGTTTATAAGTGCTGACCAGAAACATTTTTCTAATAGCTGAATGGGAGATGTCTGTGTACCAGTTATCTATGTGAAGGGATTTTTAGGGGCTCAGAAAGATCCCAAATATTCCCCCACCAGCCTGAAATCACTTTATCAGGGAAAAAAACCCATAATGTTTTTTTCCAGTACTAACGACCCCAGCAAGAAACAGCATGTTAACATAAATTTATATGGAGATAAAAGATCAATAGTAGGTTCTTTCCTGGAATGAATATCCAGTAGGGTGTGGGGTATTTGAAAGCTCAATGGTTGGGGAAAGAACAACAAAAATTCCCCTTCTACATGACTTTGACCAGGGCAAACCCTTCTATACTGTTGCTAACACTTAAAGGTAACCAACGATCACTCTGAGTAAACCTAGTATGATTACACTGATTAGCCATTTAGAAACATATTTACTTCTGATGGATTTTCTAATTGCTTCGCTCGCCTAACATTTCTAATCACAGTTCTGTCCCTAACTAATGAGTTTATCTTCAGCTCTGGGCCTTAACTATCAAATGAGGGAACTGGACTTTAGTGGTTTCCAAACTGGGCTCCATGGAATCCCTTCAGAGAGGCCTCTCTGGTGGATGAGAATGGGGTAGGAAGGAGAAGTGGGATAGAAGAGAGAGAGCCAAAGCCGGGGTCAAGAGATGCCCCTCTTAATGCAGATAGTTCCAAGATTTTCTGATCACACACACAAAAACTGGATGAGATGGTCTCCGGGATCTGCTTTGATATTTATGCAAATCTGCTTTTCACAGCTTTTGTCTTCAAGTCTGAGTAGATAGTATAATGAAAGGTACAGAATCATTGATCCCAAAGAAGAAGTTATGCTGAAATAATGGACATAGTCTTAGCAACTCTTATTTATTCATATCACCTTTATCTCAGTCTGGATCAGGCTTTCTCAGGGAGTGCCCAGTGCATATAGGGTCAAAGGGAAAGATTCTCTCCATTGCTGTAATAAGCAAAACATCCCCCCCTTATCTGATCACGAAGTTAGCGACAATGTAACATATTGAAGAGCTTCCTGTGTGTGCCTGGGCATCCTGAAGTTTGGGGAATGGGTTTCAGGTGTATCTGAGACTCAAATCCCCCCAGCCCTCAATTTGGCAGCGTGTTGCTGAGGGGGCAGAGCTCATGGGCCAGTTCCCTCTGCCTGGGACAACTTTGTCCATTTACTACACTGTCCCAGTAGAAATGTCATTTTCTAGATGTGCTATGATGTAAGAAAAGTTAGACAGTACTAGTCTATTAAGTAACAGGAATTCATTCTTCCAAAATCTGAAACTGGCAGCCCCAGGGTCAATTGGAGCCCTAAGATGTGCTTTGTTTGAGCAGCCTCTTGCCTTAAAAAGTTGAATTTGAGTGCCTTCAGGAAAAACAGGCACTCTCCACTTTGCCACAGTCTCCCTCAACCCCCTCTAATGGCAATTGACTCTTGAATCACTGGTTTATAAACTTTCAGGGTAGTCTGGCTTCCTAGAACTGGTGCCCTGGAGGTAGTTTTTTAAAAATGTGTCTCGGAGAGTTTTGATGGTTGGATAAATTTGGGAAATGCAGCAGCCCCTGCAGCCCCAGCACATAGAAAATTCTCAACTGGCTCTGCTCATTTCCACTTTGGTTAGGGGCAAGGTTTCCCCTGCATGCTCCATCCTCACAAATGGTATCTGAGATTCCCTATTTTCTCCCCAGGACTGGTGGATGCAGACTGTCCTCCAGTGAGGACGGGGGATGGCGGGCCATCCGCCAGGACGGCTCATCTCAGAGTCTCTTCCTTCTACTCCTGGTTGTCCTGATGGGAGCTTCTTCTCGCTCCTGCTCTAAAGGCTCCAAATTCCTCCAATCCGTCTCTGCTTTGTCTTCTTCTCCCATCTCCAGCTCCTGCCTGAGAGCAGAAAAACTCATTCTGCAAGCACGAATCCAAATCTTTCTCTCTTAAACATGCTCCCCTGGTGTTTTTCTTGAATCTTTGTTTCTCTTTTGCTGTGGGCTGAAGAGAGAAGCAGACAGGACAATACATAAAAATACACAGCTTAATCGTGTGAGATATTTCTAAATAACTTGATTAAGAAAGCTACAGGACCTATAAAGAAAATCATAAAATTTTATTGAACATAAAATAAGATTTGAACAAATAAAAAGATTTACCATGTCCTTGGATGGGAAGTCTAAATACCATAAAAAAGCCAATTTCCCCAAATTGATATATATATGTTATGCAATTCCAATTAGAATCCCAACTGGGATTTAAAAAAATTATAATTAGATAAATGTTCATATGGAAGAATAAACGCCCAAGAATAGTCAAAGAAATTACAAAAAAGAAAAAGTAGTTGTTTAAAGAGACAGCAGAAGCAAAGTGTTAATATCTCTGTAACTTAGGTAGTGAGTACATAATGGGTGTATCATTATTACTTTCTGTATCATTATTATTTTGTGAAATACAAAAACATAAAAGTGTTTCATAATTTAAAATAAAAAGTTAAGACTGTGTATGAATTAGAATTATGTTCAGCTGCATAATAAAAAAAAGAACCCAAAATAAAAATAGCTTTTAAAATCCTATTGTAGTATTTCTCTCACACATAAACCAGGTCCAAAAGCAGAGCTGAGGGTTGGTAGGGTGGTCCCCAGAGCCGTTAGGGACCCAGGCTCTTTCTGCTCCACATCTTAGCATGTGGTGTCCATCCTGAAGACCACCTATGGCATCAGCCATTATTTCTAAGTCCAAGTGTCAGGAAAGAGGGGGAAGAAATCTTCACTGAAACCCCACAGAGAACTTTCACCTACACCTCCTTGGGAAGCATTTAGTCACATGGCGACACCTGAGGAAAAGAAAGGCTGAGAAATGACTTTATTCCAGGGGCATGTGCCCTGCTAAACATTCATCTATTTTCTTCTCATGATGCCTAGGTGTGTTTTGTGGGATGTTATTTGGTATTATGGGAAGAAAATAAGAGGCTCGGGAGAATTTAGTAAAAATGTTTAGGTAACAGAGGAGTGAAAAAGAAAGCTAAACAACTTTAAAATGGTCACTAAAACTTTCCCATTGTTCCTGTAAGAGGAGGAAGGAGGGCTGACAGTGTCATGTCATTCATAGATGACAAGTTATTTTTACGGACATAAAAATGAGAAAGCTTCGTTGCCAAATAGTGATTTTAGTCTCATGACTCTCAGAGGGGAATCATGTCTTCATGACAGAGGTTACACCTGGACGACACTAGAGGTGTGTTTTGCTTGCTCTGCAGAGAGTTCAAATTTGTGAATTGTTTGCTACCATTTTTTTAAAAGTCATATTTCAGATGCAAATCCTTATTTAAGCTTTTTTGGACAAATTGGAAGATCTGGCCATCTTGAGCCACATTCTCATGGGCCAGAGCAGTGGTGGCAGCTGCCTCTCCAGCTCACTGTCCCACTGGTTGTGGGTCTATAGCCTAGGTTTGGGTCCATTCTACTCCCAAAGGGAGGGACCTGGATCAGGTCATGTCTTTAGGTCCCTTCTTCCTCTGTGGCCATAGCACCGCATACCATGTGCTACTGTGCGCACAGAAAGGTTGCCCGGCCCCTGAGGATTCATGTGTGCCAGCTGCATAATAGGCACTCAGTAAGCAACTCAGTAAGTTCTCGACTTGGTGCCCAGCTGCATGCTGGAGACATTTGAGTGCTAGAAGAGGCTGGCTCCTTGTATGAACAAAGAACCACAACACGGCACTCAACGTGCATAGAATTTTCATCCTGTGTGTAAAATCTCACTGTGAAAAATGCAATTGGCTATCGCACCTCCCACATGGAAACTATAAGAGAGTGTGTTTGCGACTGTTCCATTGCCTAATTCACCTGCTCCGTGTCAGAAAAGCTGCAGAATCGGCTCATATTTACTCCTTCCATTTGGGCACTTAAAGTTTATTGTCATCAATGTCTACCTTTACAAATATAACTTTCTGAATAATATTGTGGAGTTCTAAATCAAATGACAAGCGCTTTTGATTGGTGTTCTTGCGTCTGCAGGCCAAATTCATATATAAATAAACTTATAAAGGTTTATTTATAAATTTACAAAGGTTTGGTTCAACCAAACGTTCAACTCACTATTATAACATTCTTATTACTAGAATTAATGAGATACAGAGGGGACTAGGACACATTTTATTAACATGTTATTCACTTATGTTTTCATATGTCAACCAAGAAACACTCACTTTAATGGTTCAAGGTTTGTCACAAGGCCCAGGAATATTATTTTGGAATTTGGAAGGGAGAAACAAAATAATTACTCAGTGTCTTTCAGGATGTACATTTAACCTTCCTGAGAACAATAGGGGTGTCAGGAAGCCAGACTCTAAATGCACCCCAATGCTGAATTGTTTGCATTTGGCCTAGGAAGAAACAGATAGACCAACTTTATTTTTGAAAAGTTCTCCAGGATCTTTCACATATAGGCAGAAGAGACTTAATCTTTATTAAGAACTCATTCAAAAGGTATGCATACCAGCTACACGATCATTTAAAATGACAGTCATCATTATAGCAGTATTCTGAATTTATAAGAGTTCTATGTGTGGAAGTGCTCATAATCCTTCTGTGCATCTTTTCTTTTTCAGTATAACAAAGTATACAAGAACCTAAAGGAGTTTTCTCAAAATGGAGAGAATTTCTGCAAGCAGGTCACATCCGTTCTTCAGCAAAGGTACAAAATGCACGTTTGCAATAAGCAGTTCTTCCTCTTTAGCTGCAACAAGCGATACGACTGGAGGAGTGATTACAAGCTGTCCTACTTTCCAGAATGCAGTGTTATATTTTGGTACTTCAGAGATTGGTTTGAAGAATGATTCTCCTCTATTGCACATTTATCACTTGGGTTCCACAAAAATCAGGAAACAACAGGAAGTAATTCTGCTTGAAAAGGCTCTTCTGATTCCTCAGAATGAGTTTATCACCTCCTCCCGGGGCCCACCATTGTCCCTGGTGGGTATGCCCATTATTGTACTTCTCACACTGATGGCAGTTATTAGTCTATGTTTGTGTCTCCTCTATGAGAGCAGGAGCTGTGTCTTACTCATCTTTGCAAGCTGAGCTCATGGAGCCTGGCCTTTTGTCTGATGAACGAATGGATAGATGAATAAAAAGTCATCATTTTCAGTATCCTCTCTTCATACTAGATGTGATCATATGTAAAGCTGCTCACTGTCTGAAATGAGCACACTGAAATGAGTCAAGAAAGTTACAAAAATTCCTGCTTAAAATTAGAGAACTCAAGGACTGAATTGGGCCATAAAGGGTTTTTTAGGCCATTTCCCTACATCTAGACATCTCTAGAATAATCAGCTCTAAAGAGACCTTCAGAAGAGATTGTTTATTCTTTTAAGGTAACCCGTTTCAAGTTCAAAATATCGCATGTGTGCCATGAGAACAAAGACGCATGGGTTAACAGCATTCTGCCTTAGTAGGTCAAGAGTAAAGCAGACCATTAACTTTATCGGGTCCAGCAAATGAGGCCAAGGAAAGATACAAGGGAGCTCAAACAGGCTTTTATAAAGAAAATGACCAGGATTGTTAAAATGGAGTTGAAAAGAAAAAATTTTAAAATAAAAAGTTACTTCTACCTTAATAGCCAAATCGCTTTGATTCTACGAGAGGAAGAAGGAAGACCAATCTGGGAGGAGATATCTTCTATAAGAAAATAGTTTTATCAGTCAGAGAAAATTATTTAAAACAAGGCCAGTTAACTATTATACAAATCCAATTCATTACCTAGATTTGATCATCTCCCTCCTGCAGATCCAAAAGAATCTGCACACACATTAGCCATCCTTGTGACCTGGGGTGCAGTTATTTGGGGGAGTCACTGCTGTGAAACTGCCTTATTTTTTTTCCCCTTGTCCAGGTCACTCCGCATCTCCATCCTTCCACAGACATACCTAATTTATATACACTCAGAACCTTCCTTTCTTATCTGGTCTCCTGAAGTTGCTCCCTAGGGCTATCATCTGCCCCAGACCTATTCATGTGCAAAACCCTCCCGCCCATATTCTAGAGTGGCAAACCAGCTCCAATGAAGAAGAAACAGTTGGGTGGCTAAAGATACCTCCCTTCAGGGTTTTACCTCCTTATGGAGCAGAAATTAGAATTTGAAAATCTGAAGAATAGTACTGGTAAGCAAAATTACATGCACAACTCTGGGATAAAAACTCATAGTATAAATACAAAAAGAGGACCTAATGTTTTACCTAGACCAAAAAATTATGCTAGATAATTAGGTGGGTGATGCAATAGATGCTTTCATGAACATTTTGTAAAGGTAACCTCATACAACTAAGTCATTTCCTCTTAACCAAGGTGCTGTTTTTGAGTTGCTTTATATTCATTCCTGATAACTGTGCACTTGGCATTTGGCACTGTCTCCTCACACTTGAGCTTTAAGCTTTCCTCCCTCTGCTCAGCTGTGTGATCATGGAGGTACGCCGAAGGATGCTCAGCTGCACGAAAAGAGTCGGTATTTTGGGAGAGCTGTTTTCTAATGGACACAGACTCTCTACTAATTGATGAATATATGGCACACTGTGTTTTTTTAAACTATATTTCTACACGTCAACTGGCAAAGACAGAGATCACTTTACTTCTCAAGATTGGGTCATTTCTTTCCCATGGGGAGTGATTCTGAAGTCACTGTCTCTTCCTCTGGTGTTTGAACTGAGTTGACATAACAACCATATCAAAAGGATGGATGGTCAGAACACAGCTGGTATTAACACTTGACTTTATTTGCCCCATTCTGTGAATTCACTAATTACTTCATTAGATATGCAAAAGATAAAAAGCTGTTTCCTAGCAGTTATCCAGTCATGAAAACTGGGTTTACTTTCCCCTTAAATGGGTGGGCTTATTACAGATGAATCGATGATACTTTCCCCTTGTATTACAAAAAATCTGGAAAGCCAGTACTCTTTAAAAGAAGCTATGCTGTTACTTAGAATTGTAGACAGGTAATGGGAAACCCCACAGGACAAGCAAAATGGTACTCTTGGAATACATACAGTGGGCATTTCCACTGAGGCATGTGACATGGAGAATCATGAAGGCAAATCCAGTGGTCAGCAAAATGAAAGATCTGGTGAGGGAGCACACGGGGCTTCTTTGAACTGTGTGCCAGCCACATAAAATAAGTTCAGTAAATACTTGTAGGTTGAATTAATAAATAAATGAAAGAGAGTTAAGAGTTTATTTTCTTATTATTCACCTACATTATTAGAACAAGGTCTTTGCTGTCCTTGGATACTAACAATTCTAGACACTTTGTTTAAGAGTCCATTGGAATGTGGTTCCACTTAACAGTTTTGTATTAGCACGTGGCTATAAAAGACAGCATCACAATCAAGTTGCGGGTCCAGATAATGTTTCATTTCCAAGCTCAGCTGCCTTCTTGCATTTCTAATGGGTGGTGATAGAAAAGTGCATTTGTTACCAAAACGCCATTTTGCCTGGATGTTCTGCAATTCATGGTCATGCTTAGCTTCTTTTATCCAATTTTATCCAATTAGTTGCTTCAGTTTCCTTTTTCATAATAGTGAACTCAGATTTAGCCAGAGACACCCAGCAGCTCCTAAGGTGCCTGATGCCAAAGTCATCAGGTTCTATTTTAGACAAGTACATATCAGACTTTAAAAGACAAAGGCTCATTCCCAGAAACTATTTCTGAGTGTGTGGTTCTCTGCACCCTCACAGCTAACGTTTAGACAGTATTTGATGGGAAAAACAATTGATCCTCTGTAAGAAAGTTTAAAAGCAGGTTTTCAAATGGCAAGTACTGCTGCTCTAGACATTAATTAATTAATTAAAAAAATAAAAAAGAAAGTATAGTTGATCATTGTTCTATCCACGATCCATTGCAGGCACTGCCGATGAAGGAATAAAAGATTGAAGTGAAATCTCTGATAATCCTCACCTTTTCTACTCTACCCATAGCCTGGGTGATCTTAACTCCCACAGCTTCAGCTCTTGTTTGCATATTGATGACTCTCACATTTATATTACTAGACAATATGTCTTATCTGTGCTTCGAACCATATATCAAAAAGTCTGTTGGACATTTCCACACAGGAGTCCCATGGAACCTCAAAGTCAACCTATTCAAAACAGAGTTTATCTACTTTTCCCCAAAGCTGGTACTCCTGGATTTTTTACCATGGTGTCCGAGACCATTGCCCACCCAATCAAGCCCAATACCTGGGAGCCACCCATGACCCCTTCTATCTCAGCTTATGACCAACTGTTCATGTTTCTCTCTTCTAAACACCTCTTATATCTCTAGCTTTCTTTTCATTTCATCACTTCTGCCATTGTTCTGGCAAAAATCTCTTAACTTGTTCTTCAGTCCAGGGGCACTGCCTTGCAGCTGTGCAGTTTGTACAGTGCACAAAGCCACCTGGCTGAGGGGCTGAGTGGAGACAGAAATCCAATCCACTCTCAGCCCTTAAGTCTTGCACTGTGGCTCAGAGTTGTGTCCTTTCAGAGGATCTCCTTTTTCTAATCTAAGCAAAGTTGCCTCAACTAGCAAGCTGGGTAGGGCCTCGTCCATGTCTCTAATGCATCTTGCACTCTGTAGCTATGACCCTATTTAAGACCCCTCAGAGAGTTCCATGACTTTTAGTATAAAAGTTAGCCCTCATAGATTTTATAAAAGGACCTTTGCGATCTGGGCCATGCCTTCTATCCTGCTTGTCTCTCTCTCTCTCTCCATGATCCGTGCCCCTCATCATCCTACTGAACCACTTGTAGTCAACCCCCATGAGTCCCTGCCACCACTCCCATCCCTGCATTTGTACAGCTGTATCCTCAGCCTGGTAGACGCTTCTTCACCTTTGTTGCCAGGCTCCATTCAATGCATTCTTCAAGAATCAGTCATCCCACTCTGGTGGCCTTCCTTGACTCCAGCCCCCAGTCTCAAAAAAGTGCCCCTCAGAAATGTGTAGAACTAGAGCTTAGCTCTGCTATAGCTCTTCCTGACCTACACTGTTCTTCTCTGTTCACTCATCTGTCTCCTCCCCTGGAGGCTGAACTCCTTGAGGGTCTTTGTATCCCACGTGGCTAGCACGGACCCTGGCACAGAGCAGGCATTCAGTAGGTATTCCTTGAGTGAATGAATGATTAATGTATGAGTGGCTCTGTGCCTTCAGGCGCTCATAACTTTTAAGAAGCTCAAGTTAGGCTATTTCTGAAGAGCAATAAATGAATGTGTCAAAGAAATTTGCTTACATAGTATGTAGCATATTATTTTGAATAAAAATTAGAAAAGAATAATAACATCACAGAAGAGACCATTTATCCAGCACAATCTATAGATCAGGCACTGCATTAGCTGTGTCTTATACTTGGTCTCTTTTACTTTAATTCTCACAACCCGAGGGTATAAATGTACTCTCATCCATCCCTAGTTTACAGATAGGGATATGGAAAAGATGATACATTTTGATTTCTACCCAGCCCAACCCAGGCTTGTTGTGAGGGCATGTTCCAAGTAGGCAGGAGGTTTGGGGCACTGCTGTGTGAGCCCCAACATGCTCAGGTGGTTCTGGTCCAGCTCCCTTCACAGTCTTGGGGTCCTCTATGAGAAGAGACATCAGTGGTCATCAAGTCCACTGGCTTTCAAACCTGGTATCACAGAGGTCTATGGGGAGTCCTGAGTGATCA